CCTCCAACGGTCTGAGGGACAGTGAACTGGCCCCCTGTTTAAAAAGTTTGAGGACCCCTGTTCTAGGTTCTCTAGCAGGCTAGAACTGGATAGACATTTATCTGTTCTGCAAGGGCTATGGGACCTTTAAGGTGAGCCTGAAATGCAGGTAATAAATGCCTCCTGAGGGCTGTGGGTGTGGGGCTTGTCAGTCTTGGAACTGGGGGGATGGTTGGAGAGGCTTTTTCTTAGACACCTATCTGCCCCATTCACCTGCTCCCCTAGGTTTGCCTCGGCTGTGTCTGTCATGATAGAGCTCACAACCCTCCCACTAGGGCCTGTTGTCAGCACTGAGTTCTGAAATTCCTTATTAGAGATGATGCCTCCTTTCTGACTCTGCCCCACCTCTAAGAATGTTATGACCTACGGGAGAGTTATGAAACTCTTTATCTTAAACTCTTTATCTTGACCAGTCCTTTGATGCTAAGGCATCTGGGCTTGAATGTCTCTTGGGGTTCTCTCTACCTGAGACAAACTCCTTCTTCCCTCAGTGGGTTTTTGGACATGTTCTGGCAAATGTCCAGATTCCAGAAACTTCTTTGCCTCTAGAAGCCACAGGTGCTTGGTAACTTTCTTAATCTTAGAAAAGCTGGGTCTGTGACCTGGTCTTCCCATCACTGTATTCCTGTCCGGAACAGTGAATGCACTGGGACCTTCCACGGGGAGAATAAAGGGGCTGAGTTCCATTTGGGGTTTGATATAGTTTGGGATTATGATTGGGATTATTGTTGGGGTTAGAGGTTTAGAAGATTTAAAAGATTGACTGACTGACTGACTGATGGACCTTCTAGTGGCCCAAGTATCCAGGTAGAATTCAGAGGCTGGTTGAGGGGTGCAGTTTCTGGTGTAGGTCAAGGAGGTAGAAAGTTAGGAATGGGGTTGCCTCTTAACTGGGCAGAAGGTCTGGAATGTTAGACGATGCTCTGAAGCCTTGACTTACAGTCCCACCCCTTTTGCCATGGAGCCTATTTGGTTATGGGGCATGGGGACGAGGGGAAGGGCTTTGAATTTGTGGGGTAGAACTTCCTCAGGATAGGTCAGTGCTAGTGGTTGTCATTTGGAAACTGGTGAGAAAGCTACTCTTTACCCTCTTACTCCCCACTGCAGACTTGCAGGAAGAGAGCGGAAGTGAGGAGGAACCATGGTTTTTATTTTATTTTATTTTTTAGCAGACTGGATGGGCAGGTGGAGAGTGCCTAGGGGTGGAGATGTTAGATCTTGCAAGATCAGAATCATGAAATAAAGAAGTCTCTCTGTGCTGCCTGCTGTGTCCTGGGTTTCTTGCCTGGGGAGCCTGGGGACTACGTAAAGCTGGGGAGAGCGGGTTCTTTCCTCCTGGGGACCATCTGGAGATTGTGTGCCCATCCCACCAGACATTTCAAACGGCCCGTGTTCTCCCCTCCCCTGCCCTTGCCTTCTGGCTCATGGTGCAGGAACCAGTGACTTCATGAAGTGCTCCGGAGCCACCTGCATCCTGCAGCTCTGAAATCACTTCCTGCCTGAAGTGTGGAGGCGGCAGGGAGAAACCAGGAAGCCACTAATAATACCAGGACACTGGGGGAATGCAACTGTGCTGGAACACCCCTAGCACCACTGTCACCAAAAAAAAAGGGTTGGGGTTGGGTCCCCTGAGGACAACAGGGGCTGGAGGTAGCAGTGAGAAGGCTGTGTGGTTAGAAACATGCCAACTCCGCCCCTCCCCCAGCAATGGTGTCTTGGAATTTATCCATCGCCCAGCGTTTGCTTCTCTCCCACCCTGTCCCCTGTCCTGTGTGCGTTCTGGGTGCACAGCTCTGTTCTGCCCTGTGGGTAGAAGGTAGGAGGTCACTAATTCTGAGAAGTTACCTTCCTTTTGGACTTAAATTACTCATCTGTGAAATAAGTCTATTAACATGGTCTCTGCAGCTGCTTCCAACATTTACAGTTTGTGTTTGTGTTTTCCCATCTTTTATAAAACCCATGACCTGGATTATTTTATTAAAAAGCAAAAAGTGAAACTTAGAAACTAAAACCTCTCTTCTCCCGCTACAGTTTATCCCCTGTTGAAAAGGAGACGAGCTAATATTCTTGCTACATGTCAGGCCCTCAACTAAGCATTTTAGTGCATAGGTTTTCTAATTCACCTCCCCTGACAACCCTAAAAAGTAGGTGCTATTATTACCCCCAATTTACATGTGGGGAAAACAAGTAAGAGACTCAGTACCTTGGTTGGCCAATTTAATACGAGATGGAGCTGAGGTTGGAACTATGATTCTACAGGCTGCACTCTTTAACTGGGTTATATCCTCACACCAATTTCTATGTCATTGGCATATTCTCCCACCACCCAAAATTCTGACTCTGCTTCCAAAAAAAAAAAAAAAGTTTTGGGGGGTAGGACTTTTTATTTCCCACATATAAAACTTTAAGGCTCAATATGCTTTTTAAAATTACACAGCCTCTCTCGCTCCCCACCCCCCACTTGTCAGGTATAAATCTTTGAGTCCAAGTTTCAAGGTGAGGGTCCTGGGGGGCTTGAATTGCAGTGAAGAAGTGGGAAGCTGGGCCATAGATGATCGTGAGATGCAAAACCGTGGTTAGGAAGTGGTTTTACTAGAAGGGCCGAGGCAAGTGCTCTAGCCCCGCTGGAGAAAGGGTAGGTGATGCTGGCAGGCTCGCCCTTCCTCTCCCCGGTTATTTTTGGTCTCTGTGACCTGTAGGTTTCCTGTTGGTGGGAACAGAAGCGACATTACAGCAATGAACGCCAGGAGTCCAACAACCCATTCCCCTTGTCTCCTCCTTGGGTCCCGGAACCCCTCAGGGATCTAGATTCTAGTGACCCGAGTAGCTCGGAGCATTTTATTTTAATCTCATCGCCTAATCCCTGCGCTCGCCACCAGGCCTTGCAACTCCTGGGCTCCTCATGAGGCAGGGGATTGCTTTCCGACCCTGAACCAGTTTACCACCACCAACCCCTCTGCACTGCTCACGTGCGGGCCTGGGTGCTGAGATCTGGACGAACCGGCCTGCTAGGTGGACAGGAGACGGCAGCAGCCTCCGGGCAGGTCCCCGCGTCACCGGGGGCCCACCTCACTGACCTCCTCAAGCTCCCCCTTTACGCATGCTCCCACTCACCGCCGCGAC